TCACTTGTGAGAAAACAATCTGCTTATGCGGTTAATACTATCACTGCACTTTGTTTATTAAAGAATGAGTTTACCTTGATACACTAGGCTTTCGGGGAGGCCTATGTCTACCTGCGTCTGCTTCTTGCGGCTGCTGCTGTGCACCTTCCAACTCGATTGGGCTTCAATTGTAAAGCTGATCATAGAGAATCAATCGTCCGGTTCGAAGATAGAACAAAATAAAAATATATAGAAGATCATTCAATAACTTGCGGTTACTGATAATTTCACTATTCCACCTTGTAACAGTTGCGACAGATGCTGAACGGACTTTATCTCCCACAACATCCTGAGTGGAATTTGAAAAACAAAAATAGTAATGGCACTCAAATCAGCAAAAAATACGTAAACATTAGTGTTTCTGCTTGTTGCAAGAGACATTAACAAATTTAACTGATGCGTATAACAATGTATATACCTGGCATAAGTATCTAAATTTATATGTTAGTTTTTGCACACCAACATGAATGCAACTCATGTCACTTGCTTCATCATAACTTTGGAAAATTAACTTATCGAAATTTGATAAAACACACCTTTAATATTCTTCCAGGCAGCTAGCTAACGAAACACTATCGTTATACGTGTAAGAGGCCCATATGTGCCTCGCACACGAAAAAGATAAAATCAAGTAAATACCTTGCCGCAAAAAAATTTCAATATTTAATTGGTATGCACTACTTAATTGTAGCCGAATATCTTGTTTACGTATTAAATGTTAATTTCAACTTTAACTCAGTGACACGGTTATACCTCATGAGCACACTAAAAGTGGGCTCTCAATCGAGCTTAACAAAACTGGACTATCGCGAGGAAGCGAAAGTGTGGGACGGAGTGTTTGCTCAATCAAATTTCATAGGAACGAGAGCGGTGAAATCTTAAGAATGCACGCGCATGCAATGCGTACACTAAAAGTTGTTTTTCGATGTAATCGCTTTTATGATAAATATACTTCTGAATTCGAATAAATCAATCGAAGCATTTATACCAGTCCGAAATACGTATCTCAGAAATGAGATCTTGTACGCTTCGACGGCCTCATCTGATATCTTAAAACGTTTACCGCGTAGTTTAAGGCAGGGACATTACCGGTGGTAAGTCAGGATTTAATTCAGGACCGCTCACCAAAGAAATGGCGTGAGAACTGACATTGTCCTGAGAGATGATTATGGTTGTTTTCAAAAAAAAAAAAAAAAAAAAAAAACACGCGACCATTGAAGCGTTTGAGTGTGCACAAATTTGATGCACAAATCTCATGATAGATATCAGGTCGCGCACAGCTTCAATGATTTCTGGAAAAACGTCTGTGGCCAGACTGTCTTCACGGAATCCTCCACTGAAGTTGGTGCGTCCATGCTTGAATAATTCAAACCATCGGTGAACATTTGATGGGTCTGATGCTTTATCATGAAAACCAAGACAAAGTCGATCCTAAAATCATAAAATCATCTCACGAAAATTTTCACAAGTGATTTTTGAGATGACTCTATGCAAAACTTGTAAATATAGGCCGCGTACGTGCTCTTATTATGAAACCACCACCGAAAACATATAATTTATACTACGCTTTACATTTTTCATTATTGTATAAAGTTTCAATTATTAAAAAAAAACTTGAGCGTCAATATTTTTATTGAATTAAACACTAACAATATAAAAAATCACATTCCATGTTCTCATGTTCAATCATAACAAAATTTTTCTGTCAGTCAGAGTGATTACTACCCAACAATTATGTATTCTCATTATATACAATAAGATGAGTCATAAAACTGTATGACTATTATTTAAAATTATAATTAAAATAAAATATCTTAGAAACAGTGAAAAACATAAGTCATCAAAAATGAAATATCCAATAAGTAAAGGATACATCAAAATAGGCTGTGATTGCGATTTAAAATTAAATAAAAATACGTTTCTAAACCTCAGATTACTGTAATAAGAATACGGCCGGTTTGCGCTCGACCGTTTTGAGCCCTTATCTGAAATCGACCGGTTTGCGCTTGGCAATTTTCATAATAGAAATATCTAACTACTATAGTTTCCTTAATCGACCGATTTGCGCTCTCTTGCAATATAATTTTAATTTTATTCTACAATAATAGTCTGGCGAACCTGCAATGAACAAACTAACATGTCAAATAAACAGAAACATCTTTTTCCTTTAGATTAGAAAAAAAAATGTCAAATCAAAACTAACAAAATTATTAAATTTTTCTAATACTGTCGAACAACAGAGCGTTCTTTAATCTTTAATACCTCCGTTTATAATCCTTCTACCTGGAAGTTAAATGTTTAGATATAATTAGTAACTAGAATTCCCAAAATGAGAGATCGCTGGAACTAACTTTCCTTTCTACCTGATAAAGCGAATTGGTAACTAAAATATACTTAGGTCATTAACATATACTTATACTTAGGTCATTAACAAAGGGTATGGTAACAGAAAAATTGCCTGAAAATTCTACGTGATAAAGACCATGTTGATGGTCAATCATTTCTATTGCGTTCTTTGAGATAGTAGGATCAAGAATTATTGTGTGAGTTAGTGTTTTAAAAATGGATGTGCAAATTATTGAAACTTCGAAGGGAAAACCATGTGCATTGTATACAGGGTACAGTTTTCGTATGAAAAAAACAAATAAAGATGGTTCGGTTTTTTGGAGTCGTTTGAAAGAGAAAACTGAAAAATGTCGAGGCCACATAATTATGCATAACACAATAATTAAGGAAGCCGAACATCTGTGTAAGCCGAGTGTTGCAGCGACAGAAGTGAAGCAGTGTGTCTTCAATGTTCGAAAAAGAGCTAGGGAAGCCAATAGTTATTTGCCGATATCAAAAATATATCAAGATGAATTTCAAAGATTATATAGTCAAGGACTGGATTTCGTGACAGACATCCCAAAATTCTCCTCACTGAAAAGTGGTTTCAACGATTGTAGAAAACGTGCGCATGGGCTGCTCACGGATCCAGCGGCAGCATACGAAATAGTATTTCCAGAAGTTCCAGAAATTTTTATTTATCGACAAGACCACTCTCTCGGGATACAGAATATTGGTGTCTGCCAGCAACAAAGCTAGGGAGATTTTGGTTAACAGTAAGGACACTGTATTTATGGATGGAACATTCAAAAACTGCAGTAAGCAATTTAGTCAAATATATACCGTTCATATCGATACTGGTAGTACGTCAGAGGAGACAAATACAATTCCATTGATATTTGCGTTACTTCCTAACAAAACCAAAGAGACATACGATATGTTATTTTCATCAATGAAAGAGAAACTATCAAATTGGAAACCATCTCTTATAAAACTGGATTTTGAACAGGCAGTGATCGGTGCCTTAGAAAATTATTTTCCCGAAGCCAAAATTTCTGGTTGTAATTTTCATTTGAATCAATGTATATGGAAAAATGTTCAAAATATTGGACTTGTTTCTGAATACACTGACAACGAAGAGATACGTTTGCACATAAGAATGTGTGCTGCGTTAGCGTATCTACCCATAGAAGATATCGATGATGGCTGGTTATGGATTCAAGAAACCTTTCCTATTTCTGAAAAAAATGTAACAGTTTTATGACGACTTTGTCAAAAAGGAAATGTGATATTGCCATGATCAAAGACATCGCAGTAATAACGTTTTAGAAGGTTGGAATCATCGTCTGAATACATTAATAAGACCACATCCCAATGTATTCCAATTAGTGAAGTGCCTTTTTAAAGAAGCAGAATATTTACTTTCAATCTAGAAGGAAAGCGGCGCAAGAAAACATATATTAATCTTGATAAAGAATATCCAAAACTTTACAGAAATATAAAGATACAAGGGAAGGTAATGTTTAAGGACATTGGCATATATCCAGAAGCTGCAATAAATAGACAATTTTTTATTCCCAAGAATTTTTTGTATTTTACTGTAGACAAAGTTTGAAAAAAAAAAACGAAAAAAAAAAAACAAAAAAATTAAAAGAAAAACAAAAAAATAACAAATTAAAAAAAAAAAAAAAAAAAAAAAAATAAAAAAACATCTTCTAAACAAGTCAATGTTTATATTATGTATAAACTATGACAGTCCTAGAGTAAACAATGTTAGATATGCCGACGACACCATGGTGATAGCAGATAGTTTAGAAGGACTTCAGAGGCTAATGGACAGAATAAACGAGTACAGTCAACAGTACGGACTAAACATTAATACCCACAAAACGAAACAAATGATTATCAGCAAGGATAATATAAACGGGGCTCATCTATATATTAATGGGACGCAGATAGAGCGAGTAAAACAGTATTGTTACCTGGGAACTATTATTAACGAACAGTGGAGCAATTTACAGGAAATAAAGTGCCGCATAGGAAAGGCAAGAACGGTCTTTAACAAAATGAGCGCCATATTCAAAAGTCACAACATATCCCTTGATACAAAAATGAGACCTTTGAGATGCTATGTTTTCTCTGTGTTGTTGTACGGGGCGGAGGCATGGACGCTTACAGACGCCACTATTAAAAAACTTGAAGCATTTGAGATGTGGCTTTATAGAAGAATGCTGAGAATATCATGGACAGCAAGGACCACGAACGAAGAAGGAACCAGAGATTGTGTTTACGATCAAACGCATAAAATTGCAATATCTGGGACACGTTATGAGAAATCAGCACCGTTACTCCCTGCTACAGTCTATATTGCAAGGTAAAGTCAAAGGTAAGCGAGGACCCGGTAGAAGGAGAATATCATGGCTGCGGAATTTAAGAACATGGTTTAAGAAAACCTCAACGGAGCTGTTTCGAGCCGCAGCGAGCAAGGTTATGATTGCCAATATGATTTCCAACATCCGAAACGGATAGGAACCAGAAGAAGAAGAATGACAGTCCTAAGTCTGAATGAAAGTGTGAAGGGAAGATGGTTTATTTTTATTTTTTTATTTTTTATATATTATATTTATTTTTTTAACGTCGATTACAAGAGGGCGCAAAACGGTCGATATAAGAAAATAATTAGCTGTACATCTCCATTAAGAAAGTGTTAGAGCGCAAACCGGCCGATTTCAGGTAAGGGCGCAAAACGGTCGAGCACATATCGGCCGACACCCTTTAATAAAGTTTAAAGATAATTTAGACATCAAATAAAATAAAAAATGTTTCTAATTTTTCTGTATGACTGTATAAAATAAAGTATGATTCGTATTGTATGACCGAAGAAGAACAATTACACAAAACATAGACTAATTTAAATCAGACCAGTGAAATATATAAAACAAAACCAATACGTCCTATATACATTTAACTAAGTTACTACAAACGCTATTTGCGGTCAGAGGGGGGTAGTCAGCCATTTTGTTAAAGCAGTAATAAAATGAAGTACTTGTATATTTCGTACTTATAACATTATGTCATTATTTAAATCAGTTAAAACGAGTTTACATTTTTACTCATTCATCAGCAAGTTAACAAGTTGATCACTTTACGTGAAAAATTAAATTTCTTTATTTTGATAATAAAATAAACTAGGACCGTGTAATACTAATTAAATTTAATTTATTATAGAAATAGGCTGTATTATGTAGATTAAACTAAACAAGGGGTGATAAATTAATGTTAAAGAAAATTTTAAAATCGAAAATTGTTTTACTTGGTTTTATTTATATAAAAAATATTCAGTATATTTCGTAATGACTTTGTTAAAGGAGTATTGTTTACAAAGAGATCAATAAAAAGCAATAACACGCTTATTTAGTAAATTACTGAGTATTGCACGAAACTAGTTTTTAAATCAAAATATCGTCAATCCCTGTAGCAATTATCTTTTTTTCACTATTTCCAAATCAATACTAATCTATAATTTTTATTCAAGGTTCAGTATTTTCGGCATTTCTATTTTCTATCACTTCTTCCTCCATTGAATTATATCTTCTGCTATTAATTAACGATTTTATCTTAAGGAATATCGCAATGGGTGAGATACCATTGTAAAGACACATTCCCATAACCAGCAGGTTGAATCCAACAAGCTAAAAATTTAAAAACAAAATAAATACCTTATTTACAATTGTTTAGACATATGCAGCTGGACAATATAATTTGCAAGTGTTTTATTTTAATTTTCAAATCTAAAATGTCACTTAATTGCAATATCTAATAACTCTTATCTACAAACACCAAATTCTAGTTAAAGGAACGCATTTTAGCAATCGAAACCGAAAAACATCCGATTAAGTTTAATCGTAATAATGATTGTCTGCAGAATAAACGAGATGTATATTCCAGCGATACGAAATAAGAATTAATCTAATTATAATTCTACAATACCGATTTGGAGATCAACCAACCAATTCTGGGACACAGGAAGGCTACAAATAGCGTAGATATAGTAGAAGTACCACCAATGAGCGGAAAAATATTTCCAAACCTTCAAGCCTGAAAATCGACTGGCCTTACCAAGCAAGTACGTGTTAGACAGCTTTGGACCTTGAGCCAAATTTTTGTAAGTTCATCAGTGAAATAATTGATATTTATATAATAAATTTATAAAAGTCAGTGTATAATAAAAAAACTGTGCTATGAACTAGGTGATAATGCTCGAGCCGAACATAGTTTTTTTTAATATACTTGCAAATAGCAGCCACAATAAGTTACTTCAGAACAATAATTCTTACTCTTATCACCTGAAATAGATTACCAGAACAAAAACAGTGGCCGATAGGCATACTATATTACGACATGAGTAATAGCTGGTTGTCGAATCTAATATGTCACAGTAAAAATTATTAATAATATACCGAAGGTTACTTTTGACAAGGGAAACCAACATAATATGAGATCCGTCGAATGAAAATAATTCCATAGTGATAGAATTCAATCTTTGCCTTGTATGGTCTCTGGTCAATAATGGGCCAATTGGTGCCCTTCCAGGGTGTAGGTCGTTTTCGGCAAGTCTTCTTCTAAAGACATACTATCACCAAACAAAAAAAAATCCATCCATACCCATCCTGCAACAGAAGACTTCAGGTTATATGACTACGTTAAATCCATTTGGGTACTAATTTCTTTAATATTGTTCTTACGAGCTGAAATTAAATATGTAATAAATTAAACAAAATTTGTTTAATTTATTAATGTTTGTATTTTGAGAACGATTTCCGAAGTGGAGATGGAGTGGAGATGGAGAAACGTCAATAAACTTATTTTAGCCTTCAATTGTGGCTTATTCCCATTAAAATAATAATTACTTTAAAATACCACAAGAAAATAGCTTCAGAAAAATATACGGAAGTATGTTTTTTTACATATTTATTCTTCTTCTTCTTCAGCCTTAAGTAATCCGACTTTGGACATAGGATTCCCCCAAATCAATCCAGTGTCTTCTATTTTGCACCACTTGCTTCCAGTTGTTTCCTCCGATCTTCTTAATATCATCCGCCTATCTCATTTGTGATCTTCCTCTGCTTCTCTTTCCTAACCATGGTCTCCATTGTTGTATTTCGTGGTTCCAACTCTTATCCTTCAGTTGGACATTGTATCCATTTTAATTTGGCAGCATGTTCGCCTAAGTCTTTAACTTTCGTTTTGCTTCTAATCCATTTATTTGTTTGTTTTTGTCTATAAGTCTCACCCCGAGCATTGATCTTTCCATCGCTCTTTGTACTTTTACTACTTTATCCATGTTAGACTTGGTGAGTGACCACGTCTGTGAGCTATACGTGAGTATAGGGAGGATACACTGAACGTAAATTCTGGTTTTCAGATATTGTTCTATTTAAGTGCTTTTTAAGATTCAAATCAGTTTTCCAAATCCTGCCCACGCTAATCTTATTCTTCTGGTAATTTCGACAGTTTGATTTTCTTTGTTAACTTTCATTATCTGTCCCAGGTAGATGTATTCGCTTACTGTTTCTAAATTTATGTCGTTTAACGTCATTTTTCTTATGTTCGGTGTATTTGTCATTATTTTTGTTTTTTCCAAGTTCATCTTAAGACCTACTTTTTCCGAAGTTTGAAATAGTTACGTCATCATGGTCTGTAGTTCTTCGAAACTTGTAGCGAATATTACAATGTCTTCAGCTTATCTTAAATGACTTAGTTTTCTTCCATTAACATTTATTCCTTTATCTGCCCAGTTAATGTCTTTGAGCACGTCTTCCAGTCCAAGTGTAAATAGCATTGGTGAGATAACATCTCCCTGGCGAACTCCTCTGTGGATTGGTATAGCTTTGGTTTCCGCATTTATTTGTATTTTTATTGTAGCTTTCTTGTAAATATCATGTATGAGCATTCTGTATCGGGACATAGATATAAATATTATATATGACATAGATCTCGTTGGAGACTCCATCCTATCCACGAAAGACATTTTCAACAAGGTGGAAGGAGCAACAACTGAAGTAGGGCTGAAGATTAATGAAGAAAAGACGAAATATATGTGTATAAATAGAACGACACGAAGAGACAGAATAGGACAAAATGTCACGGTCAACACCTTCAATTTCGATAGAGTACAACGTTTTAAGTATCTGGGGGCCGTAATCACAGCTGACAACGATGTCACTGAAGAAATAGAAGACAGAATCCAATCTGTAAACCGCTGTCTATTTGCAGTGGATAAGCTCATAAAATCAAAAAATCTCACAAGAAGTTCAATGATCAAAATCTATAAATCCATCGTCAGACTGTAATAACATACGGATGCAAAACGTATACCATGACCAAAGCAAACGAAGAAAAGCTCAGACGCTTTGAACGAAAAATACTTAGAAAAATTCTCGGACCTCACCATGACATCACCACAAACCAGTATAAGATCAGAACCAATATCGAATTAAAAGCACTCTACAACGACACCAATATTGTACAAGAAATTAAATCATAGCGACTAAGATGGGTAGGCCACGTGCACAGACTGCATAAAGAAAGACTTGTAAAACTTGTATGGGAGGATTGGAAAAAAGTTGTACAGTCAGCCAAGACACACCCAGGGTTGTAGCGCTACGTGATGATGATGATGATGATTCTGTATCGGGAGTCTATCCTGCAGATGTTCATAGCTCTCTATTTCCCAAAGTTCTATGGAGTCGAATGGAAGCCTTTTCATAATCAACGAAGCCAATGTATAAGTTTAAGTGATATTCATTGGCTTTCTATATTAGAGTTCTGACTGTAAGAAGATGATCCGCTGTACTGTAATCCTTTCGGAATCCTGTCTGCTCTACAGGTTGGTAGTTTTCGAACTTCGACGTTAACCTGTTAGTTATTACTGTCATAAACAGTTTGTACATTTGGGACAGCAGGGAGATTGGCCTATAGTCTTTCAGATCTCCCCTGTCTCCCTTTTTGAAGAGAAGTATTGTCAAACTTCATTCCAATCATCTGGAAATTCTCCTCTGTGAAGACATTCGTTGAAAAAAATTTTCAATTCTTCGAGAATAATTTCACTCCCCTCCTTCAACATTTCTACAAGTATTCCATCTGGGCCCGGAGCCTTATTGTTCTTTAGTTGTACCATAGCTTGTTTTATTTCAAAGGATTCTATGTTAGGGAGTATTTTTGAGTTGACATTCGTTATCTTTCTTTTTAAGATCTTCTTTTGCAGTGTTATCTGGGTTCTTGTTTGATGAATAAAAATCACGGTAAAATGTTTGAGTAACTTTTATTTCGTTCGTTCTTTTCTCTTATTTCTTTCTCATCTTTATCCTTCAATGAGATTATTATAGGCTTTCCTGAGTTTGATCTTAAGCATTTTGAGGCCTCGGTTCTTTTCTATTATTTTTTCTACCTTGTTTTCGTTATAGATTCTTATATCTTTCTTTACTGCCTTCTCTATTTGTTTATTCAATTCTTTAAAATCATTGGTGTTTCGCTTTCCATCGTTTAGAAATGTGCGTCTCTTTTCCATCAACCGTTTTGTTCCTTCACTTATTCGGTCTTCTTTATTTTTCGTTTTCTTTGCAACAGTCAGTCCTGCTTTCAAGAGCTTTCGTTGCATTTCTTTATTAATTGTGTTCATGTCGGAATATTCTTGTTGATAATTTCTACAGATTCTTTTCTTAAGACTTCTCTGTACTCATCTCCCTTCTGTCGTATTTTAGTACATATTTATAGTTATTCCATTTGATAGTAACCACAGAATAATGTGTTTCATATGTAAACAAATGGGCTACATTACATCATGTTTTAACTCTCATCGTAATAAATGTAATAACTTAAACGTAACACTTTATTCCCACTTATAACTCCGGCTTCAACCACAAGAACATCACAACAGTTCCACAAGAACTTATTCCGGAAACTGCCAAAGACATCAAGATACAGATAATCTAACCGACTTAGAAGGACTTCAGTGTCAAAAGAAAAGGTATAAAAAAGGTAAATCAAGCCTAAAAGAGATCTTTCAGTTTAAGGCCAAAAACAAAAAAGTTTCCAAGAACGCAATTTAATAAGGCTACTAAATGGACGAGTTTATATTACCCGACAATTACGTCACAGCATTTTTAGATTTCTTACGGCAATATTTTACAATAGCTTCATTTCAATATATTTATTTAAATTTTAATATTAATCTCTTTAATAATGCTACCAAAGGTTAAAATCAAACCATAAATATTGCATATATAGTTGGAAGTGAATCTATGATATTCTTACTTATTCATTCTCTGCTTAATGTTAAATTACTATTACATGTATATTAGACCACATGTCCTTTCGCTGTGATAAGTTTTAATAAGTTGCTAATTGTTGTTAGTTTAATTGATTGTTTATACAATATTACCATATAATGTCCATTTACTTCATCCTTATCACAATTTTAATATCATTGACTGCTACAAATCTTTTAAGGTAACACTTATAACATATTTTCCATGCTTGTGTGGTTTTCATATTGTACTTTTTAGATGAACTGATGATGCTTTCAGAATACGAAAGCGTAACGTCTTCAAAATAGATAAAGTAGCCATCAACTTTGTCTTTTTATTTCTCCACCTTGAGACCGATATAAGAACCCACCACTCGTCTGAGT